GGATTGCTTATGTTAAATCATTCCTCCCCATTCAACAATCATAGTGATAATCCAAGCACCTTTGACCGAATTTGAAAGCTGGCAGAGACCTCAGAGCTTCAGAAACCCTTTTTCAGGATCCTGGGCTCCCAGTTCTTTCTCACTTTCTCAACTGGAAGGTCTGTGAGACAGACAATCATCACAACAAAGAAACAAACAAGGTAATTTCAAAGAGTAAAGACCACAGTGAAGAATAACAAGGACCATGTGAGAGAAAGCATGGGAGGAGGGGCAACTAGAGGTTAGATGGTCTGAGAGGGCTTCCAGACCTTTCTGTTTACAACACAGGTGCCCAAATCACTATTTCAGACAGAGCTAATCAACTGTGATTTACAGCTGGGATTCAGGGACCTCTTAGGTCCTGGATTTTTAGCATCAATCTCCAACAAAAAGTAATTGACTTTAGAAAGAGACCTGTAAAGTGGGGGTCAGGGAATACAACAGACCCTACTAAATCATCCTCAGCAGAAAGGAGCAAGAGTTTTCACAAATGGAATTGGGTTAGAATTGGGACTTAGCAAATATGGAAAAATGAACTTAAAAAAAAAAGGACTGTGGTCTAGCAGGAGAACAAAGATAGGACTGTAAGGAATATTCTCTGAAAACAGAGTGGGTCAATGGCAAAGACTGGCCATGTATACTCCAAACCAGTTTCTCTTTCCTCCTGGGCGTACTTGGCAGTGAGATGCTCTTTGTCCACCTGCACCTAAGTAGAACTGTGCACCAGCACTCCTGAGTGGCGCGTGAGTAGAAGCGATGTGCCATGTCTGTGCCAGGCAGTAAGAAAGCATGTGGCCTTGCATTCAGCCTTCTGTCTTGTCTGCTGGCTGGATGATGCAAGGATGACCATAAGGCAACAGAGTGGACTGGGGTTCCAGACCAACAATGCAAAGCGGCTGCCCCTTTAGTTGTTCTGCCTGCTTGTTCCTAGTTTTAAACCTTTTATTATGGAAAGTTGCAAATACACACAAAAGTAGAGAGGACACTAAAAGGTAGCGGAATTTGCCACCCCAAAATATGCTACTTTTGATTATTCTGCATAATAATTTTGGACTTAAAAGCAATTAAGAATAGATGTAAGAAAAGCTCCTTGGGACGCCTGGGTGGCCTCAGTAGGTTAAGTGTCCGACTTCAGCTCAGGTCATCATCTCACAGTTCATGAGTTCGAGCCCCGCCATCAGGCTCTGTGCTGACAGCTTAGAGCCTGGAGCCTACTTCAGATTCTGGATCTCCCTCTCTCTCTCTGCCCCTCCCCCACTCGCACTCTGTCTCTCCCTCTCTCTCAAAATTAAACACTAAAAACATTTTTTAAAAAATGGGGGGCCTGGGTGGCTCAGTTGGTTAAGCATCCAACTTCAGCTCAGGTCATGATCTCATGGTTCATGAGTTCGAGCCCGCATCAGGCTCTGCGCTGACAGCTCAGAGCCTGGAGCCTGTTTCAGAGTCTGTGTCTCTCTCTCTCTCTGCTCACACTGTCTCTCTCAAAAATAAATAAACATTAAAAAAAGTTTTTAATTAAAAAAAAAAGAGATAGGAAAAAATTAAAAGAAAAGCTCCTTGCCCTCCCTCTCTGTGTCTAAAAGCAGGACATAAATTTTTAAAGGTGTTCCTCCAACCCTCTCTACCAGGAAGGCCAAAAGTTAATCAAGGGAGACAATTTTAGACCCTATCAGCCTGGAGACAGCACCAGAGGGACCTAACATAACTAATGGGACTTTATCTGCCATTAGTTTACCTTCCCACAGTTTGCTGCCCTTTGAAGCCTAAAAGTTCTTTCCTTTGTCCGGTCATTTCTCCAAAAATGTATTGCTCTTTGTTGAGCCAGAGTTTTTTTTTTTTGAAAAATTTTTAATGTTTTTATTTATTTTTGAAAGAGAGAGAGAGAGAGAGAGAGAGAGAGAGAAAGAGACAGAGCATGAGCGGGGAAGGAGCAGAGAGAGAGGGAGACACAGAATTCAAAACAGGCTCCAGGCTCTGAGCCAGCAGCACAGAGCCCAATGCGGGGCTTGAACCCACAAACTGTGAGATCATGACCTGAGCTGAAGCTAGACACTCAACCGAGCCACCCAGGCGCCCCTATAAGCCAGAGTTCCAATCCACTTCTGAGTTAATTCATTTTCCCTGGGTATCTTCATGTACACATGAGGTATACATATGAATAAACTTTATCTTTTAACTGCTTTTATTTTTTTTTAAGTAGGCTGCATGCCCAACACAGAACCCAAAATGAGGCTTGAACTCATGACCCTGAGATCAAGACCTGAGCTGAGATCAAGAGTCAGATGCTTGAGCCATCCAGGGGCCCCCCTCTTGTTTTCAATCTGTCTTTTATTACAGGGGTCTCAGCTAAGACCTCAAAAAGGTAAAGAAAACTAATTTTCCACCCCTACAATACTTTAATAAATCCCTACTACTCAGATTTAACAGTAATGTTTTGCCAAAACGGTTCCATTTCACCTATGCTACCCACTTGTTTTGGAGAAACTTAAAGCAAATTCTAACTATTATCATTTCATCTGTAAATACTTCAGTGTGTATCTCTTACAGATAAAGACTTCTGTTTTGTTTTTTTTAAGGAACCCTTCTTTTTTAAGTGGTTTTTTTTTTTTTTGTTTTGTTTTTTTTTAAAGTAATCTCTACACCCAACATGGGGCTTAAACTCACAACCCCAAAAGCAAGAGTTGCATGCTCTTCCAACTGAGCCTGCCAGGCTCCCCAGGACTTCTCCTGCTTTTCTTTTTTTTTTTTTTTAAACAAACCAAAATAGCATTGTCATATCTAACACAATTAATAATTCCTTACTGTCATTTACTACTTGGTCCTTATTCAAATGATCTCAGTTATCTCAAACTGTCTTGGTACAGTTGCTTGTTCAAATAAGGAACAAGCAAGGAAGGTCCACACAGTACATTTAGCTGATGTGTTTCTCTGGCCTTCCTTTATCTCTAAAGGCTATCTATTCTTTCTTTTTACCCTAGGCTATGTATCTGTTGAAAACACGCATCCAGGCGCCTGCGTGGCTCAGCCAATTGGCTGAGCATCCCACTTCGGCTCAGGTCATGATCTTGAGGTTTGCGAGTTTGAGCTGCTCACTGGGCTTGCCGCCATCACTGCAGACAAGCAAAAGCCTGCTTCGGATCCTCTGCCCCGCTCCCCCCACCCCTCCCCTGCGCACCTCCTCCACTCTTGAGAGCTCTCTCTAAAATAAACAAACATTAAAAAAAAAAAAAAAAAAAAGACAGTCATATGAACTGTCAACTTTCCCGCTTTCTGGATTTGGCTGTTTGCAAACTGATGCTATGTGTTCTTCTGATGATGATTTTCTATCCACTGTATTTTTTATAAAGTGGCAATGAAACCTAGAGGCTTGCATACAATGAAATCCACATCTTTTGCAAGAAATACGTCATTGGTGGAGTATCTAGCACCACCTTCTGCATCCCTTTAGAGATGGTTTTAGCATCCACAGATGATCGTTGCCTAGGTTTATTATCCCATTAGGGGTTGCTACCTGTTTTTTGGTTGGTTGACTGGTTTTTTTTAGTAAGCTCTATGCCCAACATACAGCTTGAACTCACAACCCTGAGATCAGGTGTCGTATGCTCCACAGACTGAGCCAGCCAGGCATCCTTGCTAAATGATTTTTAAATTCTATCAGTCCTTCTGTATTTATTAGCTCAAATTTGTCTATTAAGAAGTCAACATTCCCCTAGCAATTATTTGGGTACTCTGGAAGACAATATATACAGACAATGCAAAATGATTGATTCTTTCCTTTTATTTAATAAAACAGAAATAAACTTTTGTTAAGTCACTGAAAATCTGAGGTTTACTTTTTTAGGAAATATTTGATTTATTTTTGGGAGAACAAGGTGGGGAGGATCTGACGCCGGCTCTGCACTGACAGGCTGACAACAGCGAGCCGGATGTGGGGCTCAAACTCACAACCCATGAGATCACTACCTGAGCTGGAGTCCACACTCAACTGATGAGCCACTCAGGTGCCTCTTGTTATTTATTTTTATTTAGCTGTTATTGCTAACATTATTTACCTTAATACCCTAACTTCTCAGTCACCAAGATAAATCAGTAAAACATGGGTTTTCCAGGAAAACAAACACTGGCTATAAACTCTAAGTTAAAAAAAAAAAAAAAAATCTATTAGAGAAATAGTAAAATACAAAAACTCCAGTATTTTACATATTATTAAAGGAGAGTATACAAAGAAATTAGTTCTATAAAAGGTCCCTACACTTATTAAAATCTTTACTACTACCCACTTATGTCTTGTATCTTTGAGTCCCATTTTGGTTAAATCAGTATAGAATACAGTGGTCCTCCCTTATCTGTGGTTTTAGTTACCTGCAGTCAACCTCGGTCAGGAAACACATCATCCTCTTTCTGACTTATCAACAGAAGGTCAATAGTAGCCTAATGCTATGTTACAGTGACTATGACATTCACCTCACTTCATTTCACCTCCCTTTATCATCCGATATCATCATCAGAAGGATGAGTATAGTATGGTAAGATACTTTAGGGGAGGGAAAGAGAGAGAGAGACCACATTGACATAACTTTTATTACATTATATTGTTATACATGTCCTAGTTTATCATTATTGTGGTTAATCTCTTACTGTACCTAAATTGTAAATTAAACTTTACCAAAGGTATGTATGTATACGACAATCCATCATATATATAGGGCTCCATGCTATCCAGAATTTCAGGGAACCACTGGGGGTCTTGCAATGAATATTTACTCCCCACTCGCCTCAGATATACAGGGGAGGGGGACAGATGGACTACTGTATTAGATAAAAATAGGATCTTCTAAAGTAGCATGGGTACACTTGAGCTAATTAGGAACACTAAGGACAGAGGAAACATGAATGAGTAAACAAGGAATGGAGGACAAAAATAAGGAGTGGGTTCTGGTAAAGGTCAAGACTCCTTTGGGGGTCTGAGAAAAAGACAAAACCCGAGGTTGACCCTCCTCCCTCAGAACACAGGTGCTGTTGTACAGCAGAGAGAGCACAGAGCTTCAAGTCATTTTTCCGAGCGGTCTCTCCTCTCCTACTCAGGAAGTACAGCAAGAGGCTTGAGATAGATTTCTTTACAATTTTTTTTTTTTTTTTTTTTTTTTTTTTTTACAATCCCTTTTTAACAGACCTTAACAACTGTGTTCATTTTTACGTCCGGAGGACGCAGGGCAGTGCCTAGCAGATAGTGCCCACTCTGGAAATATTAATTGGACTAAGAAACGGCTGATAAGAGTGTGCAGGTGCTATGGCCAAAACAGTGGTTTCAAGTCGCAATCACTCACTAGCTGACTCACTAGTGATTAGTTTGGCAACTCGCCTAACCACGCCGAGATCAATTTCTTCATCAATAAAACGTGAATACTACTACCCGCCTTGTTTATTTCACTGGCTCGTCAAGAGACTTTACATAATGGGCAGCCCTGTAAAACACTGTAAATGTGTAGAGTTTGGGTACGGCTCTTGGCCAGCAGGAATGCTGAGACAGAACCAGGACTCAAGAACACTAAGAGCTAGCCTGCTGTGCAGGATATCCTGTTTTCCCGTCTTAATTAAACATGAAGTGGTTTAGGCTCGATGATGGTCCAGGCCCTACATTCTAACAATCCGTATGTCCGCTACAGGCTGGGAACCTCAGGTATCCTCAAAAAGGTGAACCTCGAGGCTCCCGCATGCAACCGCTGGGGACAGGGACAGTCAAGGTCGCGGGGTCCGCTCACCCAGTCAAAGTCACACGGGTTGCCGTCTTCGCGTTGCGTGGGGAGACTGCTGCAGAGAGGAGGTAGCTTCCTCACGAGTAGGAATGCAGCAGAAAGCAGGGCTGACAGGAGATAGTAAGGTCGGGCCAGCCATCGTGAAAGTCGTGGCACCGAATACACCAGAGCAATTAAAGGTGCGAGGACCGCCATCTTCCCAGCCCTTGCGGCGCCCGCCGCTCTTCGACGTCTGTAGGCCTGGCCCCGCCTCCCTCACCATTGAGACTGCCATTGGGCCTAGTCTCGGATGCACCGCCTCTGTGCCCGGAAGTAGATCTCTCATTGGACGTTGCTGTAGGTAAGCAATTAAAAGGGATTTAACACCTTATTGGTCGATCTAGCTGTCGCTTTTTCCACTTAAGTCATTTTATTGGATATGCGACTGTCCCGAACGGAGAACTACAGAGAAGAATTTAATTAGGTTAGATAGCACTTCCTGAACGTTCTCATAAAGCGACGGAAGTAGTTGCCGGAATAAGGTAGGCGGAACACCCAATGAAAAGCGGCTCCTGAGGAAGGGGGCGGGACACCGTGAAAGGATTGTCCAATGAAAACTACCGACGCCAGACACCGGGACAGGGCCGGGGTGGAGGAGACGATGGAGAATTTCTCGGCGCTGTTCGGAGCTCAGGCTGACCCACCACCGCCCCCAACCGCACTCGGCTTCGGACCAGGGAAGCCACCACCTCCGCCTCCCCCTCCTCCGGGCGGGGGCCCCGGCACGGCCCCGCAGCCCACCTCGGCCACGGCCCCGCCCGGAGCCGACAAGTCAGCGGCTGGTTGTGGTCCCTTCTACCTAATGCGGGAGCTGCCAGGTGAGTACTAGGCCCGGCCGAAAGCAGCCAATCAGATCATAGTGAGGAGATGATGGGCGTGGCTCTCAGCCGGCTGGCGGAGGTGTTAGGTAACCTAGGCAACGCGTGCCAGGACCTTGGAGCTCAAAGTGAGTCGGAAGGGGTCTGAGGAGTCCCACCCCTTTGGATGAGTGACGTGAGTTTTTGGCAGGGATTGGGAGGTGGCAGAGAATAAATTTCCGTGACCTTCTTTCACACCATATCTGGCTCTGTCCCTGATACTGGTTCATGGTTGCCTAAAGATTATCCAGAATTTGAGTTTGGAACTCGACAGTCCTCATTTAACATCCCTGCAGACCTAAGGTTTTCCAAATCTGCCACAAACTTGCTGTTGGTGTGAGGCATGTTGCTCTCCTACTCAGGGCCTCCACATTTCCTTATCTGTCCGAAGGAGCGATTAGAATTGAACCAAAAATTTGCTTTGCTGGAGCACCTATTATGTACCAAGCACTGTTCTAAATGCGTTAAGGTTCAGCTGTGAATAGGGTTGACAAGATCTTTGCCTTTTCTGGAGTTTACATTTCAGAGGAGGAGGCACAGAGTACCCTAGATAACATCAGATAATGGTTAGTGCTAACAGGAAAAAAACTGGTAAAGAATTGAGGAGGCCGAACTACTTTAGCTGGAGTGATCAAAGAAGCCCTCTCTGAGTAGATAATTTCTGAGCTTAAATGTAAAGAGTCAGCCATGTGTGAGGGGGAGAGCTAAATCAAGATTCAAGAAAGGAGGTCAGAAGCCCTGCTGTGAGGGAAAAGCTTGGAATATCTGAGAGTCAGAAGACCAGCTGGAGTCCAGTGAAGGTTCAAGGGAAAGAGTTACAGGAGATGAAGGTGAGAAGGGCAGGCAGAGGACTTTGATCTGAAGTTCAGGGGGAGCCATTTTATTTGTTTGTTTTTTAGTACTCTCTATACCCAACATGGGGCTCAAACTCATGACCTGAGATAAAGAGTCGCATGCTCTACTGACTGAACCAGCCAGGCGCCCCTCAGGGGGAGCCATTTTCACACAGGAAAGTGACATGATCTAATTGTTTTAATCACTCAAGCTGCTACATTAAGAATGGAAAGTGGAGGTGGGGGAAAGTGGGGAAGTCAGTCAGAAGTTACTGCTTAGTAGTCCAGGAAAGAGACGACGGTTTGGACTAGGCAGTAGCAGTGGAGGAGAGAAGTGAACAGATAGATACAGGATAAATGTTAGGGGTGGAGCTTATAGGAACGAAGGATCGAATATAAAAATAGAGAGGAGGGGCACCTGGGTGGCTCAGTAGGTTAAGCTTCTGTCTTTTGGTTTCGGCTCGGGTCCTGATGTCACGGTTTGTGGGTTCGAGCCCCTTCAGGCGCCACGCTGACAGTGCAGAGCCTGCTTGGGATTCTGTCTCCCTCTCTTTCTGCCCCTACTCTGCTCGTTCTTTCTCTCTCAACTAAAAACTAAAACTAATGATAATAATAAGAAAATGTAAAAAAAAAAAAATAAGTCTTTAATAAAAGTAGAGAAGAATTGAGAATACTTGTAAATCTCTGGCTTGAATAATTGGGTGGATGGTAGTGCTGAGACCAAGAAGGAACAAGTTTGAGAAGGTGGAAATCAAGAGTCATTTTGGACGTGTTCAATCTCCCAAGTGTCTTTTTTTTTTTTAATGTTTATTTTTTTTTCTTATTTTTTTTTTCAACGTTTATTTATTTGTGGGACAGAGAGAAACAGAGCATGAACGGGGGAGGGGCAGAGAGAGAGGGAGACACAGAATCGGAAACAGGCTCCAGGCTCCGAGCCATCAGCCCAGAGCCCGACGCGGGGCTCGAACTCACGGACCGCGAGATCGTGACCTGGCTGAAGTCGGACGCTTAACCGACTGCGCCACCCAGGCGCCCCTTTAATGTTTATTTTTGAGAGAGAGTATGTATGTGCATGAGTGGGGGAGGAACAGAGAGAGAGGGGGTCAGAGGATCCGAAGCGGGCTTGAAGTTGACAGCAGCCAGCGAATGTGGGGCCTGAATTCACTGTGAGATCATGACCTGAGCCAAAGCCGGATGCTCAACTGACTGAGGCACCCAGGTGCCCCTCCCAAGTTGCCTTTCAATTCCTCCCAAGTCCTACTGCTACATCAAGAGTTGAGAGAAATAATAATGCATATTGGTACAGTGCTTTGAAGTTCACAATGCAGTTAAATACGTATGTAATAGAGTTTAATACTTAGAATAGCCCTTTCAGGGCCCCCTGGGTGCCTCAGTCGGTTGAGCATCCAGCTCTTGGTTTTGGCTCAGGTCATGATCTCACAGTTCATGAGTTCTAGCCCTGCATCAGGCTGTCTGCTGTCAGCACAGAGCCTGCTTCGGATCCTCTGTCCCCTTCTCTGCACCTCCCCCGCTCGTGCTGTCAAAAATAAACATTTAAAAAAAAAAAAAAAAGCTCTTTGAGGTAGGCATTTTATAGCTGGAAAAAAAAAATTGAAGCATAGAGAGATTGACTTTCCTTTGGTTAGTGGTTGATGTCTACCAGAAGTTTCTCCAACTTTATCTATTCTGATGGTACCTGTTTGTATCAGTTGATAGAGATATTGAATAGGTTTTGGGCAAATGCTGGGTATGTAGGAAGTGGGGTATGTGGTGAGAAGGGGAGAGAACTAATATGTCTAGTCCTTGCTTTTTTTAAAAAATGTTTTTGATGTTTATTTATTTTTGAGAGAGAGAGAGAGAGAGAGAGAGAGAAAATGAATGGGGGAAGGGCAGAAAGAGAGGGAGACACAGAATCTGAAGCAGGGTCCAGGCTCTGAGCTGTCAGCACAGAGCCCGACATGGGGCTCAAACCCACAAAACATGAGATCATGACCTGAGCTGAAGTCTGGCGCTTAACTGACTGAGCCACCCAGGCACCCCTAGTCCTTGCTTTTAGAGAGCTTATTTTACTTAGGGATATAAAATATGTGGTTTAAAGATAGTGTCTATATTACTTGTCAAGGCTAATCTCATTACTTTGTGGTCCTGCCTCACATACAACTAACAACTACACAATGGGGGGCCCTGGTTGGCTCAGTAGGTAGAACATGCAACCCCTGATTTTGGGGTTGTGAGTTCAAACCCCACGTTGGGGGTAGAGTTTGCTTTAAAAAAAAAAAAAAACAAAAAACAGAA